CCTTCATTCTGGACCACGTATTTCTGTCTCTGTTGTTAGATAAATAATTGCCATAACAGTGGTGGAATGACATCAATAGAAATATGTGGAGCTGGATTTTAATTTGTRYAATAAGAYAAAACAGTCTTGTTGTTTTCAACAGTTTTCACCTTAAAGAAATTAGTTACACAACTGATGTTACAATACAGAGAGTTGGATGTTGTCTTGATGTTTGTTAATTTTATATACTGAGAAATATATTTTAAAACTATTATTTAAAAAAAAAACAACACACACAAAGTACCGAAAATTGGTACCGTTGAGTACCGGTACTGATTTCCAGGTACCGGATATTGGTACCGAATCAATTCAAATGTCAAAGGTACCCATCTCTAGTTATGACAAATGTTGAAAGTTGTATAAAAATGAATTTACGTTTTCAATTCACTTTTGGAGCTGTTTGTAGCCACTCATTAAAGCACGTTTTACAGCATTACAGGGTTCCCTGTACTCAATCAAGGCAATAGTTTAAAACTCATTCTACTCCCAAAAATGTGGCTTCTTAAATTTACAAGACATTCAGTCAATGCATGCCTAAAATTCATTAGGCACTTACAGCTTAATTGAGAACTGCTTTATTAACTAGTGACTGATAGGAGTACCCTTATTGTAAAATGATTCTAACAAGTTAAACATCAAAGCAGAAATGTGTTTTACCTTGTTGGCCCGATAATGCTCTTTGACACGAGGTTTCAGGCCAATGTGTAGATAGAGTTGGTCTTTCTGGTTGTAGCGAGTCCATGCCACTTCCTCAAAACGATTGGGCTTTGTGTGGATGAATTTTGTGTCCTGTGGGACAGGTTGGTTTGGATCCCTGTGTAGAAAGTGGAAAAGAAGGACAACCGATTGATTGAACAATTTAGTGAGACCTTATATGCTTAAAGTGCAGAAAAAAATTACACAAGTGTAGCCACTTAGGACTGCAGCAACAGAAAGTACAGAACTGGCCCAGTTCTTATCTGGATGTTCATGGTACTTAGGTTCCTATACAGATTTAAACAATTACCAAAGGTGGCAGGACAAACTCAAACCAAAGACAAAACGTTAGTGGACATTCTAAGACAAATTCATCTGATTATGAACATTTAAAATTTGACCCAAGTGTAGCATTTGCCTTGGGCTAATAGTATAATTATAAAACTACTGAAATGCAGTGGTGAAATGCAGCCCCCAGGTTTCATAAGATGTTAATCAATGCTGTCTGAGACATCACACCTGAATACGTCATTATAAACATCAAAAGGAGTGTTATTACTAGAAGATCATTGATTTTCTAAAGATTAATGCAAAGATCTTAAGGTAGCTGAGGACTAAATGTCTTCCTGGTTTGATGTTTTACCAAACTAAAAAAGAAGAAAAACATACCACATGCTACTTGATAAACTCTGATGTCTCCTTTGAAGTAAACATGTTTATACATAAATTATAAATACTTTCAGCTAAGGAGGATGTTTGGGTGAAGATACTGATCATTTCCATAAAATTTTTGGGTCTAGTTTTGCTGCTTAAAACTAAGAAATATGTGTTTTATGTTGTGGTCTATATCACTTTGTTAGAAGTTAAACCGTTGATATAAATCCAAAGAGCTAACAGCTAGTGTTAGAATTTTGTACGAAAGTCTTCTTCAAGCCAGACAGATGAGCTCACTAACAACATTCAGTACTTAATACAACACTATAGACTCACTTGCACTTAATCTGAGCAGAACAGAGCCGACCCTGTGAGCTGTGGAGGCCCATTCAGATGTAGCGAGCGCCCCATTGTCTGAGAGAGGCATATGGAGCCAGCCAAACCTCATCAGGAACACGCTTAACCATTCAAATGGGTGGCATAAATCTCCCAGGTACCCAGAATTCCACGTCAATTTGGGGTTATAGATGTAGATCATTAGTGCCTTTCTGTTCCCCTCAGGGCTACTGGGCAGGGCACAGAAAAATCCAATGTCCCCCTATTATGCCTCAGAAAAACAATTACCACAATGACTACATGCTTGAAGGCAACATGAGGCAGAGGTAGAGAAGGGAGTTTTAATTTTATCCCATAACGAGCAGCCTACGACTATTAATTAATAATGCATTTGAAGATATGTAGAGGGTATGTGGAAAGAATATCAATTACACTGTACAGTCTATAAAACCTAGCAGCCCAGTTCACTCCTTCCACAGTCATCAAATGGAGTGTAATACTGAGGAAACAATTACACTGAAATGATTGACTTGTTCATTGTGCTGTAATGCTAATTGCATGTTGTATGAATGCTCATTAGGTCAGACCTTTTTATAATTACTGCCATTTTTAGTTTAATGCTTTTCTTTTGTCACGCCCATTTAGTATTCTAACTTTTATAATGTATTTTTGTCCATTTTCTTCATCTGAAAGAAGGAAGTAAAATGAGTGCAGGGTTATGGGAAGTAAGATAATAAAGTTTAAGATCAGTCTTGGCCATTACCACACCAACTTTTAGATCAATAACAGTATAATGAGTAAAGCTTTTTTGTGTGTCTTTAAATTTTAGAGTACTCAGCCTTCTTGGAGCCTTTAATGGGGGGGTGCTGGAAGGTGCTACAGACGGGGGCTCGATCATTCTGCAGGGCGATTTTAATGTCCATGTCTGTGTGACAGTGTTTTCTGGAGGGGCGTGATTGAGATGAACAGTCCTAGAAGGAATAATTTGAGGACATTTTCAATCCCACCAGCATGTCTTCTATGAAAGAATTGAGTCTGGGGATTTTATGGTGGGTCCATGAGATCGCCAAGTTAGTTAAATTTCTGTGGCTGCAGGGCTTCATGGTTTGATGAGTGCTTCCCTGAGTTCTTTTAGGTTCTGGATATTGCTGGTCTGTCTTTGTTGATATGCCTTTGCAGCATCACATGAACTTTGGGGGCAGTGCCTGGCCCTTGCCTTCCTACACAGTTCCGCTCAATTCTAGTTTCCCTTCACTGCTCTGTCTGGGATTTCTCCCATAGACAAGGATTTCTTTGGGAGCATTTCATTCGGACCAATCTGAGAACAGAACATCAATTTTCTGTGCAGTGTCTGCATGTAGCTTATTTTACCTGAGCCAATCAGCAAACAGAAGGAGGAGTTTTGAACTACATTGATTTTCTGTACAGTGTCTGCTAGTTTAGCAATGGCAGTGGAGGAAGTGAATGAAGCCAGTCCGTGTTGATAAGGCTTCCAAATTAAATTAAATGTGTCTGACAAAGCAGCAGTTCTCATTTACAGTCGTTTCGTTCAGCTCGGCATTTGTCTCCTCTCAGTAGGGTTGTTTACAGCGCACACACTTCCTGGTTAGCTTCTTAGTTTAGTCTCCTTCACAGTGGAGCTGGCACGCATACGTCATGGCCAACTGATCCAATCATTTTAAACTTCAGTAGAGGCCACGCCTCCAGCAAGAATCACTTCTCTATAGCCGAGAGTCCAGACCCTCGTACGAAGCAAAGTGAAGGACAAGGGTCTGGTTTTTACCAGGCTAGGGGCAATGCCACTGGATTGGCATACTGGGATGGTTGTTCACCTTGTCAGGACGGGAAACTGAAGGTATGTTCTAATTACAGGGTAAGCGCATATCCCAGTCTCCCTGGTAGGACCAATTCAGGGGTGGTGGAAAAGAGAGTTCGGTCTATGGTCAAACCTCAGATTGGGGAGGAACAATGCAGTTTCTCTCCCAGCTGTGGGACACTGGATCAGTTCTTTTTTTCTTGCTAAGGTTCTTGAAGGGCCACTGAAATATGCCCAACCAGTCTACATGTGTTTTGTGTACTTGGAGAAGGGATTCAATTGTGTTCTCCACAGAATGTAGAAGGGGGTGATCCGTCAGTATTGGGGGATTGTTGCTGCAGGCTATTAAGTCCCAGGAGAGTCTGATTTGTATTGCAGGCAGTAAGTCAGACCTCTTCAGGGGTGGTATAAATTGGACTCAGCCAGAGCTGCCGGTTGTGACTGATTTTATTTAGATTTTTTATAGACACAATTTTTGGTGCAGCCACATTGTGGAAGGGATCCAGTTCAGTGAACTTAAGATTCCATCTCAGCTGTTTGCAGTTAATGTGGTGCTGATGGTTTCATTGTGCCAAGAGCTCCAGCTTTTTCTGGAGTAGTTTGTTCCATCTGCTAAATGTGTAGCAACTGGAATGAGGAACAACACCTCTAAATCTGAAGCCATGATTCTCAGTAAGAAAAGGGTAGGCAGCCCGTTCTGGGTGGAATTTGAACTGCTGCCTCAAGTAGGGAAGTATCTTGGGTTTTGCTCACAAGTGATGAAAAAAGGCGCAGAGATCGACAAATGGATCAGATGGTATTGTGTACCCTATGCCAGTCCGTTGTAGTGAGTAGGGAGCTGAGTTGCAAGGAGAAGCTCCGTTTACCAGTAACTATGCTTCTACTTTCACCTATAGTCACAAACTCTGGAAAATGACTTAGATAACAAGATTGTGGATACAGGTGGTCAAAATAATTTTTTTCTGCAGGGTTGATGGTCTCTCCCTTGGAGAAACGGTGAGAAGTTCAGTTACCTGGAAGGGACTCAATCAAGTTGGGGCTGGACTTTTACAGTTCCAACACCTTGATTATTTTATTTTTCTATAATTCAGTTGTCCTCTTGCATCATGATCCAGTTTGGTCCAGCCTTGAATTTACACCTGAGGCTAGACCTAGTGGCCCGATCATTTTTATCATGTCCTAAGGTGAGTGGACTTTTTCTTTCTTGTGACTGTACATCAGTGTCAAATGAAATCATGTTTTCATATTTTAGTTTGCACTTACAGTAATTAGTAGTATGTAATGTGATTATATTATTTTATTGTACTACGCAACAAATATAGAGTTTGATGTTTACTTTTCATACCCTGTTTTGGCAAAGTTTGTCCAGTAGGTCATGACCACAGCACTGAGCATCACATCATTCTTGGAGAAGTTGCATGGAAACAGTTCTGTGGGTCCAATCATCGGCAGCCCAAACACATACGGAATCTCATCTCCATGCGCTGCATCTGCCCATGGTGGTACCTAGTGATCAAATGACATTTATTTAGTTATATTTATGGAAGGCAGAAAGCATTACTGGGAATTATTTTTCAGAGTGAATCATCTGATACAGGTCAGTAGGAGACATACATGTGTTCTCTATGAAAAATAAAGGAAGGTGATACTTTTAAACATTTTACGTGGCATAAAAAACATCATTTGGTACAGACATAAAAATGCAAAAAATGGTTTTAAATAAAGAAACTCATTTGAGATTAAATAAAACAAAAATGCTAAGCATTCTTTTTGCTAGTAGACAAGACATAGATTTATAAAAAATAGGTTAAGGGGTTATTAATGACTCATCTTTAAAAATACTTAGAAAAAAGAAGATGAGCTTAGGTGCAATGAAAGTAAAATTCTAAATATTGATGTGAAAAACAAAAATATAAAGGTCAAAGGCATAATTTTAAAAAAGGTGTCAGTTTTGTAGTTGCATTACACATTTTGAAAGAGAAGTTTATGCAGCACTGTTGGTCCAAACTGGTTAAAACAGTACAGTATGTACAGCAAATAAGTATGAATGTCATTCTATCTGAAAATTCCTCTATTTAAATGTAACTAATTTATGGACTAGAGATGAGTTTATTGAACTTCAGCTGAAAGGTTTTTCAAAGATGACTTCAATTTGTACTCCAACTTAAGTTAACAACAATTTTTGACAAAGATTCAAGTTGATTTAAAATAGTTTTAGAAAAACCATGTTTATAAATTTATCTAATTCCGAATGTCTGAATAAAGCATAATGTCAAACTTGAATTGATGGTTACATTTTATGGGAGTAAGAATAGAATGATAAAACAGAAGAAAACATGAGTCAGTAAAGTAAAAATGACAAAAGTACAAACAGGAAAATAAAACAGTTTGAAGGTTATTGAGAGGGCTATAAAGATGCTATCAGACTTGTGCAGAGTTCCTACACATTTTTCAATAAAAAAATCCACAAATTACAGACTCAAACGTCTCAGTTAGTCTTTTTTGCCCATTTACTTTTACTTTTGGCTTCATCCGCAATACTAAAGATAGTTAATAATAACTATTTAGTGAGAAGACTTGCAGTGCTTAAAGTGGGATGACACTCAGTCCCAGCAGTTCTAAGTTTTCATCCAAAGTGTACTATCACTTTTTATACAACTTCTCTCATACTTAGAGTTACTAACTACTTACTCCAGGTAATATACTGTATATAAATTGTATCACCCACAGGACATCAGTTAAAACCAGGAAGTTATGACTGGCTCTCCACTGCTTCTGACTGGGTCAACTCTAGGGGATCAGGTGACACATGAAGTGTGATTGGTTAAAAGTTAAGCAAGAGCCACAAAGACACAGATGAGCAAGTAGAAATGACTGATCTACTGAGAAACTGAAACTCTCCATCAGTGGTCATTTCAGTGTTTCTTCACACCAGTCATCCTAACATGGCATCTTATTGTTGGCATGTCTAAATCTGATTCTGTCAGACTTTACTGCATCACACGTAAAATGCACCACTTGTCACTGGCACTAATAAATAAATAAATAAAATATAATAAATGCTGTTTATACGTCTTAGTTTACTTTGAAGATGTGTTGGAAAATCAGAGAAGCCTATTTTTGTGTCAAATCCTCAAAAGGAGCCAGGACTGCAACCGTCTTTTCCAAAAGTCCCTCTTAGTGGGTGATAAGATCATCAGGAAGCTTGTCCTTTTATATTCCCTCTTCCTGTGACAGACTGTAGCCGTTTCCCGCGGCTGTTAGCAAACTCTTTGAACTTGGCTTTGTGTTGCTTTTGTAGATGTTTATCCAATTGCTGGTGTTGAATGTGCTAGATTTCACCCTTCTTCTTGACTGCTTTGCTGAGCAGAATTTGCAGTCAGCTTTACTTTGTCACCACCGTTCACTTTGAAATTCTTCCGCATGGCTTCTTTTTTGGCTTCTTTTTGTATTTTATTGGCAAATAGCAAACAACGTTATGGTGCATTATCACCATCTGATTTAAAAAATGTGAACAGCCAATTGGGTGAAAAAAATAAACTATTTCTACATGGCTGACATTGTTCTCCCTCTACACAGGGAAGGTGAACTTGACCACAGTAAAGCAGTATTAATTCTCTTTTATGGGAATATTTTGCTTCTAATTATGTGTACTTGCAATCGTACTCAATCACCAATAGTAGTTCACTGGTATTATTTACTAAGATATGATATGCTAGTATGATTACTAGAATACTTTACTAGCATCCCTAGTCATGGGTAATAAGCAGCATTCCAACATAAAAAAATACTTTTCACATATGTTTTCTGCACATTTTTGTAAAAAAAAAAACTAAACTAAACAAAACAGATAATAATAAAAACAACTTTACAGTTGTACTTTGAAAAGAAAAGTTAAGACATTTGATTAAAATAAATGTTTTATATATGTTACATGTTATTGTGTGTACTCACGTTAATGAAACATTTGGAGTTTCTGTTTTCAATTAAGCTAAAACAAATAAAAAGGTGCCATCTGTTCTTGTTCTTAAACATTTTAACTGTAATACAGTGCAAATGCAATTTGTTGATTAAAAAATTGTCTGATTTCAGATGATTGGATTTTTTTAATTTTTTAATTTTTTTTTTAATTTAAGGATCTTGTTTTTGGAGAAAAAAAAATGAGGCACTTCATTTCCAGAGATTCCACAGTTGTCTCCAGAACAGAACCAGCCTTCTTTGTTAGGTTGTTTAGACTTTTTAGGTCCCTGGCTCTGATGCTGCTGCCCCAACAGATGACAGCAGAAGAGATGACACGCTCAACAACAGACTTATTGAAGATCTGCAGCATCTTGCTGCAGACATCGAAGGATCTTAGCTTTCTTAAGAAATACAGTCTGCTCTGTCTTTTCTTGTAGACTTGAAAGACAATAATGAATTTAGGCGTGTTCGTTTACCTTAATACGTGTCCGTAACCAGATAGACAATGCACCAATAGTTGAATATTTGAATGTGAAAAGAGTCATACAACGACATCAGCACTGGGCTGGAATGCAAGTTTAATTATTGTCTCTGCTCTCCCTATGCAATCAGCAGTGAAACCAGGAAGTGGTGTTACCTGTAACAACTTTCTTCAGAATCTGACCCCGCCTACTAAGCTTTACATCACTGATGGGGGAACACTATCCTTTTCCGGGGTCAAATCCTCTTGACATAATTCCTGTTTCAGCTAGTGTTTCTTTTACATTCAGTCACTATGTGTTGAATATTGTAGCTACTTCCATACTTCCTACTCTCGGTGACCATTAGGGTTGTAAGAAAATATCGATACACTGAAATATCGCGATATTTCATTTCCCGATACTGTATCGATATTCTAAAACCCTGTATCGATTTTTTATTAAGGTTTAAAATGTCAACTTTCCTGCCAGCCGTTCATTTTTATGTTGTAGTTCAGCCTCTGACCACTAGTTGGCAGCAGTGAGCCAGCCATTTGGCTCCTCTATTTCTTGAGGGAGAGGCTATTGTTAAGTGTTGGGTGACCATATTGGATGACTATATTGTAAATTAATATTAAAAGATAAAAGCTGCAAAAATATATATTTTCAAACTATTTATTGTCAAATTTAGTCTAATAATTGAAAACATGGATGAAATAAGAAATATGAAACAAATAAAATAAAATACATACAAAGCAGAACACAGCTAAATGTATCAAAAGTATGTCTATGTAATATTAGAGTTTTCTGAGACAATGAATTTTGGTTGTTCATTTTTTTTCCCCAGTAAGAGGTTTTTATTTAATAGAATTTTTGGACAAAAAATATCGCAATATATCGCCTTGCTTATAGTATCGCAATATCTCGGGATATATCGTATCGTGACCCCTCTGTCATGATATGTATCGTATCGCCAAATTCTTGCCAATACACAGCCCTAGTGACCATATCGTCCAGCCATCCAGACCAGTCTGTACATAAAATCACCAGTTTAATCACAAAAATATTCACACAATGTTTTATAAAACTATATCATGTTTCACCTAAGCAAAGGCTATAAAATGTGCAGTGCTTTTTAAAAGTCAATAGTAAACAAACCAATAAATTTCTTCAGACTGCTTCACTGTTGAGTCTCCAGTCATGTCTGTTGTCCAGATGAACACTAAGGTATTTATTTTCATCAACCACCTCTACTACTCCCCCCGTTATGAAAATAGGGTTTCCAATTTAATTTCAAAATTAATTAAACAGAAAAAAGCACTAATTGAAATATAAGCCATTACACAAAAACTATGTCAGTTGTTTTTTGTTTTTTTTTTTACCATGGGTAACAAGACTTTTGTAACTTCATTTCCAGTTTTGAAGAGACATTTTTGAGGTAAGATATAACTGAATTATATGAAAGCTGTGCACTTTCTGCATTCAGTCGTCAAAGGTACAATGGGTGAAAAAAGCCAAAAAATGCCTGTTTTGATGCATAATAAATTGTGAAAGTAAGAAAAGTGATTGTTAAAAAATATATGAAATGCATCAAAATGCCACTTCAGACATGTAAAGTATCTCTGTGCCTTGTTTAAACTGAATATTTATGTAATGAAGCATGTCTGCGCTGCAAATTGTATCATCAAGCCACATATTTTTGGTGCATAATTAGCTTTTTCAAAGCTTTCCAAAGACATACAAGACAAAAAAATACAGAATAGGAATAAAGTTGTTTTAATGCATTCACACCCATAAATAAAATGTAATGTAGATTTTTTTTTTACTAAAGCTCAAAATATCTGTTGTCAGCTCATGCATTATAAGAAACATTATTTCCACCCAGCTTGTCTACTTGGATGAATCATGAGGAGGTGCTGACATGTCTCAATAGTTTATCTATTTATTGCATCATGTCTGCAGCATCAGATTTGATGAAGGAATTAAATTAATATGTAGCAATTTTTCATGTCGCACTCATTCTTGGTAGTTGAAGAAACAGAAATGATTAAACTATCATGTTGGAGCAACCACGTTTTGCTTTAGTCACACTGAGAGAAACAGTTTAATGCTATGAACATGAGGCACCATGGGTGTTAGGAATAAAGCAGCTATGAGGTTTAAATAATTTTAGGACAGATGGATGTTTGCATGAATGATGACATCTCTTTTTCACCTACCTGTTCTGTCTGACAGTGATGGTAGAAGGCATAGAAGTAGGTTGGTGAGCCAAAACTGGAGTGTAGATCAGCTGTGGCGATAGCAGGTGCCACCCACTGATGGTCAGTGAAAAGGGCCAGGAGTGTCTTCCTGCGGGTCTCTGGGTTGTGTCTGTCAGCCCAGTCCGTGTACATAAACTTGATAGTCTCTCGTAGGATGTCTTTACCCTCTGGGTAGCCGTAGAGGTCATCAACAAAGCCAGACACGGCATAGTCGAAGTCGTTGGCCTGGACACCATTGTCATTGTCAACAATAAGCTCCACAAATTTAAGGCCCTCGCCCTGGTTCACTCCTAACATTATATCATAGTTCAGGAATTCACCTGGAGGAGACAAAAAGTTGATAAATGGAAAACACAAGACAAGGACAGTGTGTAACAGATTTTTATTTATTTATTTATTAGTAAAAGGAATTGGTACCTTGCTCCATCAGTATCTGAGGGTCGTCAGGTATAACATCTCCATCTATAACTGGCCCAAAGGCAATGTGGTAGCGGGCTGGTTGGATGTCTTGATCAACAAGTTCTTTGTAATGTTTTCTCTGTAGGCAGACCACAAGTTCCATGGTGTCCTCCAGGTTACAGCCCACCTTACGGGCCAGCATGCGGGCATACTTGGCTGGTTGAAAACTGACAGCCCAGCTGGACAGAGCTGTGCCACTTTGAGCAATGGCTCTCTGGAACAAACCTGAGGGCAAAGACACAGAAACATAAATGCCTTGTGTCTTTATTTATTCCTTTTTATTTTATTTTTGTTTTATTTTGTCACACACTGTGTGACATAACCATTTGTTAGTGGCATAACTACATTGTTATTTTTTAAACAATGCAAAATCAACATTTTTTAGTTTTATATCATGTTATAGTGTCATTCCCTCATCAAAAATGTACTGTGCTTGTGACTCATTCATGCATGTTTTAGAAATCCTTCAATCTCCTGTGGTAGCCATGTGGAGCTGCCTAACCCCCAATTTACACTGCATCCACTCTGCTCTGCTCAGACCTCAGCAGTAAAAATGGACCAATTATAATCAGAGCATTTACACTGCATCCGCAGGGTGGCTGCGTGCACACGGCCATCTGCCAAAATTAGATTTCATCCCATTTTTGCTGGATGACGGAGCAAGTGAGGAGTCAGTCTACAAATATCACATCGCACCATCAGTGAAAAGAAACAAGCATAGCATCCGTATTTTTAACATAATTCAAATAACAGTGAAATGGGCTGCAGAGTGCAGCATATCAGAGCTGAGTGCAGTGTAAAATGGGGGTAAATGCTTGCTGGTACAAACTAAGCTGTAATGCAGGGGTGCCCAACCTTTTTTGAACCAAGAGCTACTTTTGAAGTCGGCAGTTTGCCAAGAGCTACTCGTCCAGTCTCAGTATAAAAAAAACATTATTTTGTCACCCTACTCCTCACTTCTTTAAAGTAAATAAAACAGAACACAATGTGTTGCTAGTTTTAGTTTAAAGTATTGTCAAACAAAGCTATCTATATAACCATATATTTACCTACAAATAAAAAGATAAAATCCTTACTTAACTCATGACAGAGAAACATAAAAGTAATGCTTAAACAAAAAGGATCAATTTTTTTACCTCCTTCAATTAGTACTCCCTGTAACGTGCAAGCTACAATGGCTGAAAACCTGCCCAGTGAGAACCACAGAGTCAAATAACTTTGGAGCATGGGAACTCGTCTCCATTTATTCAAAGAACTCTCCTCTCTTCTCTCCATACAGGGGAGGAAAAACAAACAAAAAAAATATCAGGGTCAACATGGCTACCACAAAAGTACTGCCCTTTTTTCAAAGTCAAAGCACACAATATAAAACTCTCTCGCAGGCGGCTATAAAACCCGGTGCTGAGCTTCCAGGACCAGTTTCACCTGATCAGATCTGTTTCTTTTATTGCCTGGAACAGATCCATCAGCTGCGTTTCTGAATTTTATGCATTTTTGCAGAAATATCTCCTGTGAGGGGCTTCACCTGCTTGCAGGTATAAAACCCGGTGCTGAGCTTCCAGGACCAGTTTCACCTGATCAGATCTGTTTCTTTTATTGCCTGGAACAGATCCATCAGCTGCGTTTCTGAATTTTATGCATTTTTGCAGAAATATCTCCTACCAGGGGTTTCTGGCTGAATCCAGGCAGGAGAGCAGGTGCTGGATGATGACCGCGGGTCCACCTTGCTGGATCTCTTCTTTTTATTCCCCTGCATCAGCACAAGCAACCCTGTGCTGGAAATCAGCCATTTCACCCACCGGAGCTCGCCTGACAATTTTGATCGTTAATATCTCCGCGTGGGAACGTTCCAGGAACTTGCAACAACCTCCAGGTTGTACCCAAGATCCAGCACTTTAAAACGAGCCATCTCCCGCCCAGATCCGATGCTCAGAGCCGGAGCTAGAGGCTCCTGAGTAAATTGAGTACTTAATCTCCCGCCAAAGCGCCTTTTTCGGCCGGTCGTTGGTTAATAGCTCCGCGGGGGAACGTCCCAGGAACTTGCAACCACCTCCAGTTTGTAGAGGAGGACTACAGGTTTCCAAAGCCATCTCACTTTCCCGGATCTGATGCTCAGAGCCCGCAATAGAATCAAACGAAGGTTGAAATTTCCTCCCAAAAATGCCCATAAAATACACTAAGTCGTGCGTAATTTGCTTATAGCTCCGCGGGGCAACGTCACAACGACTCCATTCATATATCAGCTTATAGGGCAGAACCAGAGCTTTAAAACCCGACTAGCCACTCCGGTATCCACTGCTCCTAGCCCAGGGAGGGGGGCTAAAACCACCCCCGGCGGAGGTCAGACGGTACGCAATTTTGGAGGTTTTTTGCTTATATCTCTGCGGGGCAACATCACAGCGACTCCACTCAACTTTCTCCTTGTAGGGGAGAGCCAGGGATTTAAAACGCAACCATCCACGCCGAATAGCAATGCTCCTAGCCCGGGAGGGGAGCTAAAACCACCCTGGCGGGAGGTCTGATGGTGCAATGGTACTTCATTCAACTTTCACCTTGTAGGGCAGAACCAGAGCTTTCAAACAAGACCAGCCACTCCGGGATGCGACGCTCAAAGCTGGTGCTAGAGGCTCCGCAGCAAGGTTGCCCTTCGTGGGCACCTGGGAATCAGCTGGTGGGCGACGAGTCGCCCGTGAGCAACTGGTTAGGCACCCGTGCTGTAATGCATTCCTTGCATTTTAAAAATGCAAAGCATATTTGATTTCTATTTCATTCCAGCTCATCAACACTCAAAAATATAACTTTGTGTTCTGTGCAAGTGTGATTCATTGCACCTGAACCCAAGTGCTAGTGCATCACAAATTGTAACAATAATGTTGTAACATTAACATTTTAATATAACATTAAAGTCATCATGGTCTTTAGAAAAAAAAATTGGGAAGTGGGGTTGTGAGTTGTAGGCCCTTGTGGCACGGTCTGAGCTTTTGTTCTTAGTTACATTTTTCGTCACATTATTTTGACTTTTTTACTTTAAGTAATTTTAATCCAGTACTTTATACTTTTATTTGAGTAAAAAGCTTGAGTGAACACTTCAGCTTCTAAAGACATATTTTTAAACCAAAGTATCTATACTTCTACTTAAGTAATGAATACTTTTGAGCCCTCTGTGCATTGCAATTACAATATGATCGGCTCTCATTCCTTCTGTAAACAAGCATTTCATACAGGTTTTACTAGTTTATTAAGAAAAATAATAATAAAAGAAAAGGTCTAGAATTCCATTTGGAAATGCATTTGTCCGCCATCTTTTATGCAAAATTCTAAACTAAAATAATCTCAGGAAAAAAACAGTTGTAGCCATTTTGGCCAAACCTGGAAAAGTAATATTAGGTGCAATCAGTTTCACAGATATTGAGCTAAATTTGGTGCATCAATAGCTGAGATTCATCCTCAATACATTTGCTGAATGCTAACATATATCGTGATATTGCAGCAGCCCAAGGGTCATTCGCCAGGTTTGATCAAAACGGCTAAAATTTAGTTCATTTTAAGCACAAGATGATCTTAGTTTAAAACTCCTGGCTCAAGAAGCAGCAGGTGACATACATTCCTTTAAGGAATGCTGGGTCTTTAACTTGGTCAAATTGGGTTTTGATCTTTTTCTTCTCTGAAATACCCTTTTTTAAGATTCACTTCAGACGCATTAGACATGTATTATTTCACGTATTAGTATACGGTACATGAAATTTCCTTCTGGATATCAAGATTTACCTTTGGTGGAGTTGCTCCAACGGTTGCCCTCAGAGTAATGAGACAGGGTGAGGAGGTTCACACAAGAAGCCCCAGCCCCCGAACCAAACACGGTGATGCGTAATGGATCGCCACCGAAAGCTGCAATGTTCTCACTGGTCCAACGCAGAGCCTGGATTAGATCCAACAAGCCGTAATTCCCTTTGGCTGATTGGTCTCCCGTACTCAGGAAACCTGCACCAGACAACAAAGAAAAGAGTCATGTTACTTTTTTATGTAATAAACAAGGAGCTATCACTTAACTTCACATTTTCAATCAAATACCAAAACAAATGGAAATCAAAATTTAAATCATATCATTCAAAGCATGTTTGTGTGGGGGGACTTCTGAACTGATGGTAAAATAAAAACAAAAAAAAAAAACTTTACTTGACAAGATTGTTTCCGACATCATGAAAATCGCTGGTGGTTTGTTAAAAAACAAACAAAAAAACTTAACATATATAATCAAATCTAAGACAGAAGATTTATAAGTTTACTTTTTATTTTGTCACAGCCAGTAAATGAATAACTCAATCAATCAAACTGACCTTCAGTATAAACTCAATACATCACCATTCTCTTACAATAAATCCATACACACAGCAAGAGTGGCTCACTGCTTCAAATGATGGCATTGCAATCATTATTATTGCCCACGGCCAAAAGGCAAAGCCAGAATGTGTGTGTGTGTGTGTGTGTGTGTGTGTGTGTGTGTGTGTGTGTGTGTGTGTG